CTTATCAGACATTTCCATGATTTTCACCGAACTGCTTGTGGATGAAGAGTTACTCTTTTCCCTAGGAGGAGAGGGATTTTCTTGTTTTCCCATGTTTCTCGTGATCCGGCGGTGATTTCTTGTCATCTGATGAATGTTGTGTTTTCTTTCAAATTCTGGAGGTTCAGCCTTAATGTTAAGGAGCAAGCAGACAGAGGTGATCCAGAATCTCTTTGCTGTTCTATTGTGCTTGCTGGTGCAGCAGATTCAGAAGATAGTGGGGAATATTTCAACCCTATTAGTATTTGAATGTTTAGCTACAGGGTTCAAAGAAAACGAGACAGAGAAAAACAACAAAAAAAGAAAAAAAATTAAAAAATTAAAAATTTGTAATTACTGTTCTTCTTTAAAAAAAAAAAATCACAAAATACAAAACCGCGCGGCGCGCATGCGCGCCGCGCGAAAAATCTAGTTCACAGTAGCCATGTGGAACCTTATCCTGAAGGCCCGTGGCTTCTTCTGCCGCTAGCTCTTTTGTTGGAGGCTGAATTATTAGTAGAAAGTCTTCATTCCCTTAAAAATCTAGTTCACAGTAGCCATGTGGAACCTTATCCTCCACCTGGCTAGCTTTTGAAAATGCTGATGTCCAGATCCTATTCCAGCACTACTGAGGAATCGGAATGTGGGTGTGTGCACACAGGCATACACCTACGTGTGTGGGCGGCAGATGTGTGTGGGGAGGCTGATACTGTTATTGCTTCTTAATTATTATACAGAATGTATGGACTACTACTTTAGGACAGAAGAATGTTGCTAAACTTCCAATCGTAGTAAACAGACCAATAAGCTACTACTGTCTACAGAAAGAGGCTCTCAGAATGTCGTCAGAACAATACAGTGAGAATTGTACAGAATCATTTTACTATATTTATGACTATTAATTAGTAATTTTCAGTTTAGACAAAAACTGAGAAGTTTATCCTTTTTCAGTTCTTATGGATGATTACAAATAAATGACTCAACAGAAAGTTCAGTTCATCTTTCATTGAGCATCGACTGTATACCAGGTCTAGTGCTGGGTGCTGGGATACCAGAAAGAATGTGACAGAGTCCCTGTCCTGTATAACCACGTATCTGGATGTGTGACTGCCAGCACAAGGTTTGAGGTATGGGGAAAGATGGGGAAGGACAGGGGAGGAGCACAGGGAGGCTCTGATGAGCTGAGTCTCAGGCTGCAGAGAACTTCTAAAAGGCAGGAAAGCTTTTATTTAATTCTGAAAATGGCTGGCCAATCATTAGGCAGGTGAAGGAGGAAGAAGGAAAAGGTTCCATACAGTGGAGACAGCAACACAGAGCCAAGAAGATGTGGTCGCCTTCAGTCACTGAAGATGACATGAGAGAACTGGAGACCATGCGGTGGTGCAGACGTGTGCTATCCAGTCAGCTTACTTGGGGCAGATTACTCACCCATTTATCCACTTAATATTTTGAACACGTCACAGAATATGTTCCATACTTAAAGGGGAAAAAAAAGTGACTAGGAATTACCAAAAGCACCTAATTATGAGGTTTCTGTTGCACCAAGCAGCCTGCGTGGTAAGCCCTCCTCCCACCACAATTATCACCCTTTTTTCTTTTCTTTCTTTCTTTCTTTTAAGTTTTTCCTATAGGACATGTGCACTCATCTGAGAGAGAGAAAGAGAGAGAAAAATCACCCTCAAGGGGAGATAGCTGTGCCACAATACTTTCTTCTCCATTTTCCATCAGGATTTGGGGCAGATGGGCCTAAGTCCCTAAAGTGACTGTCAAACCATTGGGTCTAGAAGTTGAACCACACAGTCGGCCACGTGAGATCCAGCACTTTAACCACCATGACACCTGCTGGCCCCTTTTCTCCCTATCAAGAGCTATTCAGGCTCAGCTTGGTGGGTGGCAGACTAGGAAACAGCAGCAGCATCACCACTATCCAACCCAGGGCTGATCTAGATCTTCAAAGGAAGAAGGATCAATCAAGAAAGGCAAACAATGAGACTATTCTTATCTATAGAAAGGGTTAGTGTTCTAAAACCATCAGTTCTGACACTAAATTGTTCATTTTGTTTTTAAATTTTTGGTTGGCATGTAAAGATGGCAACACTTTTGCCAGTTTATGGGTTTGTTTTTAATGTCAACTAGATTATTTACAATCTTCCTGACTCCATTTTCTTTCCCCCAAAGTCATTCCAGTTAACGATTACTGTGCAAGTAGGCACAATCTTTAAAGAACCTTTAAACCACCTTTACAATTCTAATTTCATCTTCTAACACAAGGAAACCAATTTCAGATAAAATCTAACCTTAATATAATCTGTTGAAAGGCCAGAAACCGGTGAGGGGCACCTGCAGCTGGATACATTTGACAAATGAGTACATTTTAACCTTTTAGGTAGAAAAAAGTTATTTCAACACTTAAAATTAGGGTTGCAACCTAGCTACTCTTTTAATACAGGGCCTGTTAACAAGAGGCAATTCAACTACAAAGAAAAAAAAAAAGGTGGCATCCAGGTTTAACAAGGAACTCTCTTCTTCCACTTTAAGTGTTTGGTTCCTCAGATTTTTTTATTGAGGATTTTGCCATAAGACTCATACACTCACCAGAGAGACAGAGGGAAACAATGAGAGAGAAAGAGAAATCGCCCCCAGCCACCCACCCACCCCCCAAGTGGGAATGGCCACATCACAATCCCTACTCCTCCATTCTCCTAAGATTTGGGGCATATACACACACATACATGCACCCGGTGTGAGTTTCAAGCTACTGGATCTGAAAGCAGAAGTGCAACTGGCAATGTGGAAGTTCATTCGTCAACCACCCTGCCCCTTTTTCCTCATACTTTAACTGTCCCTTCATCTGTGCCCAGTGACTATCCCCATTAATTAATGAGGAAACTTTTTTAGAATGTTGAGACCCTAGCCCCATCCTAAACACAGTAAATACTAATCTTGGGGGTAAGCCTCATGAATGGGTAACTTTTAAAAACAAACAAAAAAAGATCTTCAGTTGATACTAGTGAACAGGGAGTTAAAAATAAACAAACATACATACATACAAATGAAAGACATGTATTTTCTAAGATCAGATGATACAGAATCCTTGAAAGAGAATTCTTAACATCTGAAGTCCCACACAAAATCAGGCTCTCTGTCAGGGTTCTTAAGCTTTATGGAGCCAAGATCCTTCTATCCCAGCTCCCAAAGCCACCCCTTTCATACCAATCGCTCTCTGCGTTTTTACCTTCTGAGACATTTCTGGCCTGCGCACACCACATCTATTCACTATCAGCGAAAGAAATACCTGACCTACAGCATCCCAGAAGATATTCACCTGACCTTTACTTAAAGAAAGCCAATAAAGGAAGCACTGACAGCTCCCCACAGTGGCAGGTCCGTGGCTGTCCACATCACGAAAGCAGAGGGTGCTGCTGCTGCAGGAGGCCTGCTTGCTCACCACCACTTCTTTAGTCCTTGCTCTCTGAAGTGGTGCAGACAGAGGCTGCTCTGTCCTGCCGGACCAGAACAATGCCAACTGAGACACGGACTATTCAGACTCATCTTTGAAGCCCTAGTGCTTACGGGGCTGGATACACAGTAGGTGCTAATAACAGTGGCAAGAAATAGGGGAGAAGTGTGTGTGTGTGTGTGTGTGTGTGAAAGAGAGTGTACATGTATAAAAGATGGTCATTACCACTGTGCTCTAATCATTCGTTTGCATACTTCTTCAGTTCATGTCATTTGTGGTACTAAGTATTTCATGCATTGGGTTCATAGAAGTGAGTAGAATGTGTTCCCTTAACTTGAATAATTCATAATCTGATAGAATAAATTTTTCTGAGCATTGTAGGTGTCGGGTTCTCACTTCTCATAGCAAAGCTACTGTTTCATTATTCCAGTTCTTTCAGAAGAGAAAACTGGACATGCAGAGGTTGAGTGACTTGCCAAGGTGTCACGGCCAGCAAGAACAAAGACATGGTCCCTGTCTAACTCCAGTTTCAGTGTGCCCCAGTGCGCCCTGCTATACTGCAGCCTCCAGTTGTGAATAGGGCACTGTATCAGTGTCTACAGCTGAGGTTTCTGAAACAGAACCAAGCCCAGAACGTGACTGCAGTGGCTCCCCTGACAACAGCTGACTTCAGTACCTACAGCCTTACCCCCTAGAGAGCGCCTGCAATTTCCAGCACACTGCTGTCTCTACCACTCTCTAGTATGTCCACTCATGTCAAAGTTAAGTATCACTTAAAAATTATCTCTGCACATGTGCTATTACTTTCCTCAATCATGGCCCACTTTACTCATTTACATTACCTGCCAAACTAGTATAGACTTCTGGGTTTGCAATCTTAGTGTTAGTACTACTGGCTAAACTTGCCCCAAAGGGATAACTTCACCTGCTGTGAAAACTCTCTGATGGTTGCCTCAAGTGGCGCTTGACATTTGCTGCAGCTCACTTCTGTAGACTCACTGTCTAGAACATCATTAAAAGTAAGTGTCTATTGGTCTGACCATTGAAAATACAGAGGACATCTGTCTCCAGCTTCTGTGTGATAAATGGACCTATCTGCCTGTTTTATTCCTTTAAATGAACTTGGTTCACCCACTCAAATGAGCATGGAATAGGAGCTTCACACAGAAAGCAACTGCAAGCACTGACACTCCCCTCTCCAGAAACAGCCATACCATCTATCTGTTTAAAGGCTACTCACTCTGAGCTAATGCTTCCAGAATCTTCCTTCATCAGGCTCTCTATTGTGGCTCTTGTGCTTGATAGAGCCAAGTCTCTCCCTGATCCAGATCCCAGTGTCAGCCACTCATATGGATGGCTAGCTAAGCTTTGAACTTCTGGGACATGATCTCTGTTCTCTTTGCTCCACCTCTAAATCTCATCACCAGAGGTAACAGATGTCTGACCTCATGTTCCACCTGGGTCCTTTGGGTTAATCAGTCATATCTGTCTAGGCCAGAAAAGGGGAGAGGAATAGTCCTACCTTCATGGTTTACTGGTAAAGGACGAAACTGCTTATCCAAAACAACCAGAGAACACGTGGCATCAAACCCAAGTCCTCGAATCTGCTTTAAATTGATCCCTTGTATAACTTTCTGTTAAAAAATAAATAAATAAATAAAGACATAGATTATAATACCAGTTTTTAAAGCCTTGAAGAGTTATGACTAGAAGAAAACAAATGAAAGAGAAAAAGTATTTACAATATAAATCAGACAAATTCAAATATCATCAAAGTAACAAAAGATCCTACAGATTAATGAGAAAAAGAAAAGCATTGTAATTGAAAACTAAGCAAAGGACATAAAGGTTCACCTATAAAATAAAAAGAAATGGTCAAAGAGCATTTCATAAGATTTCCAACTCCACTGTAATCAGATAAGTTAAAAATGTAACAATTTTTGCTTTTCATATTGGCAAAAGTATAAAAAATCCATAGTATATAGTAGTGGTAAGACATAGAGAAGCGAAATTTTCTGAATATTATCTTAACAGTGTAGTTACTAAATGCAAATTTTGGAGAATAATTGGATAGTATCTATTAAAATTAAAATACGCATACCTTTTGACCAGGTAATCCCTCTTTTAGGAGGCTATCTTTGGAAATTTTTAGCATAAGTAAATAAATGTATAGGCAGAAAGTTAACAGCAGCATTGCTCATTGCTAAGAATATATTTAAAAACCGTAAGAACCGGCCAATGGCATGGTGGTTAAGGTGGCTGGATCCCACATGGCCCACCACATAGTTCAAGTTCTGAATCTGACAGCTTAAAAAAACACACTGGGCACATGTGTATGAGTGCCAAAGATTTCAAAAAAAGAAAGAGAGGAGAAAAGACTGTGATGTGACTATCTCTCATGGGAGGTACTTTCTCACTTACTCTCTCTCCAGCAAGCACACATGCCTTCTAACAAATTTAAAACTGAAGAAAAACAAAACTACTTTTTATTAAGTAAGTTATAGAATACAATTGAAAAAAAAAAAAAAAAAGAGGGACCCAGCCAGTGGCATGGAGGTTAAGGCAGTCGGATCCTACATGGTCAATTGCAGATTCAAGTACCAGATCTGTCAGCTTAAAATACACACCAGGTGAGTATGCGTGCATGTCCAAAGTCCCAAAATGAGGGCAAGATGGGGAGAAGGGATTGCAGCATGACTGAGCCCCAGGGAAGGTACTTTCGCACTTTCCTTCTCTCTTTGTCTATAAGAATTTTTTTTTTTTTTTTTTTAAAGAAAGAGGTAGTGAAGAAACTTCTGAGTATGGTGGTATAAAGATATCAGAAAATCCTCCTAGCAAAATAAAGTATAAAACTGGGCAAAATCATTTTTAAAAAATTGGAGGCTATGGCAATTGATAAAAGCCACACGACAAATTTAGAAGCATTTTTTTTTTCTTTAAAAATCTTAAAATTGGGGTCAGATATGTGACACAGAAACAATGCGCTACTCAGGAGAAACCAGACCAAGCTGACTCTGTGAAGGAATGGTAACGCACTGCTCATGAGAAGCTGTTTCCTACACAGTGACCACAGTTCAAGTGCCGGCCCAGTCAGCTTGAAATGTGCTGGGGATGCCTGCAAGGGCCCGAGATCCTATGGACTGAAGGACTGGGGTGTGATCTGACTTGTGTATTGTGGAGGGTGCTTCCCTTCCTCTCTCTCCCCTTCTCTGAATCTCACATGTGTATGAATAAGCTCTATCGTGAATAAAGTAAAAAAAAAAAAAAAGAATAAAAAAGAAAACTTCATTAAAAAATTAAAAAAGCTAAACTTTTTTTGTACTTAAAACATTCCATAAAAACAAATGAAATAAACTCCATACTCAGATGGCTTCACTAAGGAAAAAATTACCAATCCTATACAAACTTGTTTAGAACACAGTGAAGAAAGAAATACTTTTAAGCAAATATTACAAGGCCAGCATTACCTTGATACCAAAGTCAAAAAAAACAAAACACCATAACATTTCCAGATAATATGCCATGTCAGGACAGGAATGTAAAAATCCTTAACAAAACTGGTGGAAATAGAATTTTTTGACTATAGACTAAAACACTACTGATCTTCTATACTTTGATTTCCACATCTAAGGCTTTTTGCCTTCTCTTAAACGGTTGATAGGTTCATCTACTTACTATTTGAACTGAATCCTAACCTTTTTCTGGCTTCCAGTCTTAAGCAAATTTCTCTTAATATTTTTTTATTTCGATCTATTAAAACTAAAACTGTTTTCCTTGAAATAAAAAAAAATGCATTAAAAATGCCTATTTAATGACAGCAGTAAGCTAGACAGCCCCAGCAGGGTGCTACTTTATATTATGTTCAGTTTACTCACTGAAGTTTACACCTAAAGTCAGACATGTGTTCATAAATATATATCAGTTGTGCTTGTTATTGAAAGTTTTTTAATTAATTAAGATCTTTAGTGATTCAATAAAATGTGGGAAAAAATCCTTAACAAAATATTAATAAACCAAATTCTACAAGACGTAAAAGTTGCATCATACACAATGACCATATGAGGTTACCTCAAGCAGGAATATAAAGTGGCTTGATATTTATAAATAAATGAATGTGGTAAACATATGAACAGAATAAAGCAGAAACACCAAATGAGCACTTCAGTAGGTGTAGAAACAAAACATCCACTCCTCAAAAAAAAAAAAAAAACCTCAATAAATAAAAAATAAAAGGAACTTCCACAACTTGACAAAGAGCATATTAATAGTAAAATTACTAGTTCCCTCTATTAGAAACAAAGCAAAAATCATCATTTCCACCAGTTCTTGAATTCTAAGTTATATCCGGTGCAATAAAGCAAGAAAAAAAAAACTAAAAGCATACAGATAAGAAAAGAAATTAAAATATCTTTCTTTGCAAATAACATGATCACATATATCATAAACTCTGAAAAATCTTAAAAAAAAATGCTACTAGACCTACTAAGCAAGATTAGAAAGGTCACAGGAAGATTAACATATTAAAATCAATTACATTTCTACATACTAGCAACATATCAAAAATGAAATCAAGAAAATAATTATATTCATAATAGTATCAAAAGAACAAAATACCCAGGAATGAATTTATCAAAAGAAGTTTAAGAACTATACCCTAAAAAACTGCAAAATACTGCTACAAAAAGCTATAAATTTAAGAAATACACATATTCACAGAATGGAAAGTTCCATAGTGTTAACATAGCAATCACTTGAAATTAATCTACAGATTCTACATGACTCCTATTAAAATCCTAACAAGTTTTTGTTTTGTTTTTGTTTTCATTGAAACTGATAAACTTCTAACATTTGTAGAGAAATGCAAAGAACACAGAAGAACCTAAAATACTTTCCTTTTCAGAAAACAACATACTTGGAAAACTTATGCAACCTGATTTCCAAAGTTAGTATAAAACAACCACTACTAAGTCAACATGGTATGGGCATAAGAATAATTTATACATCAATAGAACAGAAAAGAGATATAAAAAATAAACCTAAACATTTATGCTTAATTGGTTTAAGATAAAGGTACCAAGAAAATTCTTGGGAAAGGACTATCTGGTAGTGATACTAGCACTAAATTCCTAAATGCAAACAAAACAAAACAAACCATTAAGATAAAATTTTAAAAAAAAACCAAAATACCAAAACCTTGGACTGGCCCCACTGCATAGCAGTTGAAAACCAGGGGTCAAATGGTGGTACACTGATAAAGCATGACCTTCAGCCAGGTTAAGTCACATGCAAAGGTCCCAGGTCCCAGGTTCACAGTCCAGAGACTTCCCTGAGTGTGTGGGCCCTATGTGTACCCATGATCCAGGGCTGGCTGGGGTAGGAGTAGATTGTACAATAGCATCAAGCCCTTGGTGGGGATGTTGTCTCTCTGTCTCTCTGCCTCTGGCTCTGTGTATCTCTCTCACTAATGGAAAAAATATATATACTTTAAAACATATATATATATATATATATATATATAGGGCCAGTTGGTGGCATGGTGATCCCACATGGATGACTTCACAATTTGAGTTCCAGACCCAGCAGCTTGAAAACCACACCAGTCACATGTATGTGTGCCCGAATCCTGAGAAGAGAGTGGACTGTGCATGGCCATCCCCCCTGAGGTACATTTTCTCTCTTTCTAATGTCTCTCTTTGGTGAGTGCACATGCTCTATAGCAAAACTATTTAGAAAGAAAATATACAAATGTCCAATAAGCACCTGAAAAATTATTCAACATCATTAGTCATTAAGAAGTATACATTAAAAATCACAGTAAGATACTACCACACACCTACTAGAACAGCCATAATCACAAACACTGGCAATACTGATGTTAGAGAATTATGGAGAAAGTGGAACCCTCACATACTACTGTGGAAATTTAAAATACAGCTACTTTGAAAAAAGTGCATGGCATTTTTATATATAACTTACCACACAACCCAGCAATTTCGCTTCTGGGTATCTACCCAGGAAAAATGAAAACATATGTCAAAACAAAGACTTGTACATGAATATTCATAGCAGCATTACTTAAATACCCCCACACTGAAAACAAACCAAATATCCATTATAGTTTAACTAAATGTTAAATGAATAATGGTATATCCATACAGTGGAATACTACTCAGCAAGAGAAAGGCAAGGCATGTGAATAGGAACAACAATATAGATGAACCTTAAAAACATGCTAAATGACAGGAGTCTTGTTTTATGATTCCATTTATATAAAATTTCTAAATAGAGTAAATATAAAGACAGAAAGCTGATAAACAGTTATCTATGATGGGGGCTGGGGAAATAGGCACAATTTTTTTTTTTAAATAACATGTTTCAAAATTGAATTATGGTGATAATTGCACAACTATGTAATTTTAATTATACATTTACAAAGGAAGGATTTTATGGTGTGTAAATTATGCCTCAAGCTGTTAAATATTTTGTAAAAAGTTCAGTTATAAAAGATAAAATGGAGGGACCAGTAGTTGACACAATGGCTATGTTGCTGGACTCCCATGTAATCAACCACGGTTCAAGTCCCAGACCCAGTGGTTTAAACTCACACCAGGCATGTGCATGTGTGCCAAGCTCT